TGTTAATGCGAAGGCTGGACTCGAACTGCTGAAGCGTCGACCATTTCTGGCCAGCAACTTTCAGCGTCATTAAGCCATGTAGAATTTTTGTTTTTGCTTCAGCAAGAAAGATAGGTTTACATGAGTATGCTATCTATATATATGAGGTTCTCAATTTTCCTTACAGGTACAAATCCTTTCCTGCTTGGCTTTTTGGATTTACTTAGCAATGATTTCTCTTTTTCATGTTTTCATTGAAGGAGCTGATTCACATTTTTCTCACCTGCTGATTGTTTTTTTGAAAAGGTTGTTGAATGTTTCTCTACCATTGTCTTATGTCACTCCCCTATGGGGGTCTTTGCATTCACTATAGTGATCCAAAAGCTTTTGAGCCATCAATGTCATATCCTTTAGACTTGCAGTCAAGGAACATTGCTTCTTTAGTTGTAATCACATCAAAGTGCAACCCCAGTAAGCTTTATGCTCTAATGAACTTTAAATTTCTATGTTTCGGTCTAAGAAGACTCTAATGTTACCTGGTGTTTCACAGAGAAGAAGTTGTTTTATGCCAAAACAACTTTCTTTCAAAGCCAGTTTCACCTTAACTAGGATGTCCTGCCAACTTTCTTTCTGAACCCAACCTCTTCAGCGAAATGGGTACTGCATTCCCTTGCTATTTTATTTGGGTTCTATTGCACCATTCCACAAGGACCCTTACTTCTTTATATGCTTTCAGGATCCCTGCAATGACTAACTAGTATTATCCCAGCAGTTCTTAGAGTTCAGAGTAGCCATTAAGGTCTGCTACAAATTGGCACATAAGCCCTGCTCACTTCTATTGAAGGACATCTGACAAGGCAATTGTACTTGTACCAAAGAACTTGTCAAGTTGCTCCCTTCAACATTCACTACTTGCTAGGGCTTTGCTACACCAGATTCAAAGGCAGAAAAATGCTTCAGAGCAAATGTAGTCTGTCTGCAACTCCTGAAAATCAGCTGTCCCCTTTTCAGGAATTGGGCAACTACTTTATACACTCCCATATGCTCCAAAGTACCTTTTTGCTTTCAAATCCACAAACATTCCACAAATGTGACTCCTGCAGCTCTTGACAAAGCAAGATGGTCTACAGTTTGCTAGGTGCCAGTCCCACTTTCAGGTTGATAGCCAATTAGTTGTCCATATGTGTGAATCACAGTGAAGAACTGCTTATTGACCTGTAACTGTGGTTCTTGGAATTGCCATCACTGATCTACCCAATGTTTTAATCCATTCCGCATTGGGTAGAATGCATGTGACAATTTAGTACATACATGACAATACCTCACTGCTTGTTGAAGTGAGGAGCATGACCTTCTCTTTTAAATGTACACCTCAGGAAGCCAGGACTCTGCTCCAAATTATAGCTTTGAAATAATATCAATAGTTTTCTTTTTCTGGGGACCATTCATTGGTTCAATCACAGTATGGTTGTCAGCCCTTTGAGGTAGGAAATAGATACCACAAGAAATGCTAGAACTCTCTTGATAAAGGCTGACAAAATCTATACCAAACAGAATCAAGGTAAGGCAGTATTGAGTTTCTTTCTCATGCTTTCCTGTTTTCCCAGGCTAAGCTCATGTTTAACTAACTGTTGTTGTGTATTTTCTTCAGGACCATCTCTGTACTCCTCTACAATGATTTGATTGTTTGAACAGAACATATTAGATGAGCACTGCAATGGTGTTTTATTATTCCAGATTTAGGGTTTAGCAGGTTGTGTGAACTCAGCCTCTGAGTTTTATTTGTCTGCTTTTCCTGGTAATTAAAGGCTGAGGCAGAAGCTCCATCTTTAGAACGCCAGGCAGAGGAAGGCGTTGATGTGGTTGGCTCTGCTACCAAGCCAGAAGCACAGGCTGTGGAGACTGATGAGTCAGCAGCTGAAACTGTGGTGAGCGATTGGTACTCTATGCACCTTAATGCTAATCCATGTACTTGTGTTCATTTATATACACATCACAACTCATCTACTTGGTCCATTGTCATTTTGAAGTGGTTTTGGAATTGATTATCACCAATTATTATAGATGCAACCAGTAGGGAAAATCTTGGGCCTTTACTATATGATGCGAGGGTTGAACCTGGCCCAGCAAGGCCAGTGTTCAAATCCCATCAGGGGCACCAGGTAGGATAAAGAAGTCAAGGTGGTGGGCAAAACCACGTGATTAAAACCCACCTCTTTTTACATACATGTGTAAAGTTTTGCTTCTAATTTTGTTTTATACTTCAGAGTTGCCAGGATTTATGCTGCATTGAAAGACAGATGGAAGCCTTAGCATTCTTTGCAAGGGAATTTACCAATAGCAACTTTGAGAATTAAAAGAAATTTTTTTTTCTTGCATGACCATAAATCATCACAATCATTTTACCATATGAAATCCCCCTTGTGTCCTTCATTGCTCACCATTCTTTTGCTTTTAATCTGATAAGTGTTTGAACTTGCTTCCATAGCATGTTGCAATTCAATTCAATTGCTTATGATAACTGCATTGGATAACCGCTTATTTTCATGTCATACTAGAAAGCAGTACCTGACTGATTTCAGAAAGATAAGCAGGGTTGGATGTGGTTAGTACTTGAATGGGAAACCACCAGGAAGTACCAGGGTTATAGGATAAATTGGAGGGCATGTAAATAAATGAATAAATAAATCACCAGATTAGCAAATCACTTCTCTATTGTTGCTAAGAAGAAATATATGCTGTAGCTTCCCAGCAACTGGCACTGAGAGGCATCCTGCTTTGCATACTGAAAGCAATGTACACATCTTGACTGATAGCCATATGTAGACGTTTCCCCCGTAATTTTGTCTAAAACTCTTCACTTTCTTTTAAAAGGCCTTTTATTTATTACAGGGTTGGACATATCAAAAAGGAACTATGTGAATAACTTTGGGTTTTACTTTTCCTATTAGTTGCAGATGGACTCAGTAGTTGAAGGTCCTACTGAACCTGAGTGTGTTGATGCCACTTCTATAAATGAAGGTGGTGAAGTTGCTGTTATTGATGAAACAGCAGTTGCTGAAAGCAGCATAGATCACACTGAAGGAAAAGCAGAAGACATCCAGGTATAACCAAGGCACAAGTCTTTTTTCCTTTTTCCCTTTCCATGTGATTTTGGAAATTCATGGTCTTAACTCTGCCAGAAATCCCCAAGGTTTGTCATACTTGAATGGTCATGGCTTGCCTCAAGAATTCTGGGAACTGTTGGGTGAGGTGTTGAGAATTCTGTTTGACATTCCTCTGTAATCACAAGTAGTTTTTAAGATCATTGGGCAATTAGTGACTGTTAAACTGGTTAAAGTCTAGTGTGAATTCATGCAGCACAATGGTGTAATCATTTGTTCCAAAATTGAAGGGTTTTTAAAAAAATTAAATTAGCTAATACTGTGATTTTTAAAATAAGGTTTATGGGCTGTGTTATTTCAAATTGTGTTGCTTGGATTTCAGAATGATTTTCAAGCCCAACATGATGCCTTTTTAGCAAGGTAACAAATTCATAAGGGCTGATTTAAAAAAAAAAATCAACAGTATAAGGTACTATATCTATAAGGTAAAGTATTTCAGATTAATTTACAGTAACAAACTGCTATCTGTAATGATTATGGTATAAATGCATGTCTCAGAAATATTATTTTAAAAATCCTATATTAAGGACCAAAATTTTAACATTACTGTTCTATCTTCGATATTTCCATTCACATTCTAAGAAAATCTTCAAGGCAGCAAATATAATGTACTATTTAAAACTTATCAATTAATAAAATACTGTTCATCCTCGTATTTGGTAGCACATTTCCTCTGGAAGTAATTAATCTATGTTCCACCATTCCAATCTATGAAATACGCAGCAGCCAAACTGTGGAGAACCAAACCTTATCCAAAGCTGAATTGCCAGAGTTCTCTACTCTCAAGGATTGCCTCATTTAATTTATAAGAAATGGAACTCCCTCTTCCTTGAAGTTAATGTATAACCTTGCACATAAAGGAATGCCGAAAATTAAGGTCACATGTTAGACACAGTTGAAGTGTTTGTGTTTAGATGGCAAAAATTAAAATACTAAAATAATGTTTTCTATTAAACAGATATGTGGGGTTTCAGTCACATACTAGTAAATTCCTGTGAGTGCTTATATTATTTAGGTCTTATGATCTTTATTATACTGAGCTGAGTATTTGTAATGGTATGTGGGAATGACCTTGGGAGACAGGAAGAACCATAGCCTAAACAACGGTCTGATAAAAAAAATTTGACTCTGAAAGAGAGATGCTGAAAGAGGAGCTAGTACTCCTGGTTGTGCTTCTTGTCTGGACTACCTCACAAGGCTAACATCAATCTTGCAAGTATGAAAATACCTGTTGGTCTCGTGGGGTAAACCAGATGGGAATCAGAACCAGATGAGCTAATTCTACTTTATTGTAAAGTTACATTGACAGAACCTTGCAAGTATGAAAGTAGAATTCCTGCCCCCCCCCCGGTCTCCTTTACAGCCCAAGAAACTAGGGTTGCCCCTCCCACTATGTAGCTGTGGGCTATGCTGTCTCTTATCTGACCATTCCCTTAGCAGTGTCTCTTCGCCCACCCTCCCAATGTCTTTCCCACATACCATTACAGTACCCCTCCCATCTCTCACTTTTACTCTCCTAAAAACTAAGGAGGATCCCTTCTGAGACTTTTTTGCCACCCCTCCTCTTTCACACTCAAATTTCATTAATTAAACCACTGTCTAGGTTGCGGCTTTTCCTTCTGTCTCCCAAGGTCATTCCCACATACCATTATAGTATTTCCCTGATTACATAGGGAAAGCACATTGAATTCATCCTGTTTTTACATTCAGTCTAACTGTTTTGAGTCAGTTGGTTGCTCTAAAGGACTGGAATGTTTTTAAAGTATCAG